ATCCGGATGATAAGATGAATGTAGTGTCTCTAACAAGCCTATATTGTTATATATGAGTACAACCTCTAATAGTAATAATGTGGTGCTAGAGCAGCATGTCACAGTGTACACAGTAGAGTATGTGCCCTGGAATAACTTCTGCTTTGACATACTGATGTGGATGTGTAAATACCAATAAGAGTACTGCATATAATAGATTTATTTCTGTAGATAGATACGTAGTATCACGAACTGTGATGTGAGCATTCTAGTTGATGTCGGATAAGTGAAAAGTTATACTAATTTTTGAAGTTCGGTCGGCGCTATCGCAAACGCAGATCAGTAACTAAATGAATAGATAGCCGCTAAAGAGTATGATTATCTTAAGCAGTCTGTAGTGTTCTCCGAAATGGAATCGTGTTGATGAGTTTTTTAGTGATAAGTCATTTATTGTGATTATGTCATGTTCTAATAGACCTCGACAGACTCCAAATCCTGATCATTTTCTGTCTTTCACAGTAGTTGATGTACTCGAGGTGTGATTGGATTTTCTATATGTGTAAGAGAGCTAGTGGTCCACGGATGTTTGAGTCAATGCTCTTATCGCGCTGCTGTCTCGCGCGACATAAACATAAGATCTGATGTTGTCGTTGTTGCTGTTCAGTGTGGTCTCTCATTTTAGATACCTCATACAACTTTTGTGATATCGGGAATAATGGTGGTTACTGTCGCTATGAAGAGGGCTCATTTTTGAGTCGCTCGGTATGTTGTTTAACAGACGCGGCGAGTTATATATATCGCAGATATAGAGAGTGATATACAGAGAAAGGTGAAGCGTTGACAGTGAGTTGTAGAAAGGAAAATATATCTTGGTTGTGGCGCTCGGCATATCAGTTGTCTAGTGCAGGTGAGTCTCATGAGTACCAAACTCGTGATAAGAGATTTTAGATAAGAAAACTGCGCCTCAAGATGGGATGTTAGATTTCACGCATGAATCCAACGTGAAATATATGACTAGATTTTCTAAAGTCAGAATATCTCGTATGAGACGTGACCATAGTGTACTTGTACTGCTTTATAGCCGCATGCAGAGACAATTAAGACAGATCTCAGTAGGCCACTTCTTTAACCGTGCTTTGATTATTGTTGAGCATTGGGGAATCTCAACGTCTGAATGACCTTTCGTTGTCACATCGCACCATTGCTTAATAGACAGAATTTAATCACAACTCTCATCGTATAAGATTAGAGCTGTTAGTGTTTGATTCACTAGGTTAGAGACACAGTTATAGAAGAGATAGAGACCTCTCTGTCTCCTCTTACGCTTTGAACATGTTTGCTCGCCTCTAAAGCTAGTGATTATGCTATCACGCTCTGAAACACTCATTCTTGTCGGTGGGATTATTATCAGCTTTGCTGAAAATGATGTTTTGAGCACCTGTAGTGTAGTTAGTGTACCATACAAGTATTCTCATACTAGTCACGCTCTGGTACGGATACTAGATGTTCCCGTTTCCAAATAGTAGTTGTTGGGAGGTTAGACCACTACTCGTCACTAAACTCGATACCTTGACACTCGCGCGGAATTGTACGCTCTGCACGTGAACAGACTAGAGACTATATATGACCGCTATCGATCGCTGTTATTTTCTATCGACTGCAACTAGAAACAATCTACTAATATCTCACAGTCAGATTATGACATCCATCTACGCGCTGTATACCTAGACTACTAGAAGATTTCGTTTGTCAGAATAGCACACGAAAAATTGTCGGTACGAAACCCATCTATGCGCATTCTGAATGCTTATGTGTAGGTAGAGTAAGTTGACGAGCCTATAGACGTAGAGTTGTTGTCGCAGTAGTAACAGCGCTATCGGGTGTCAAGCTGATTTGTGAGGAGTCTAATTAATAAGTACTCTTGTTGTAACTGCATGAGTCCAGAGCGCTAGATATCTGGACATAGGCCTTGTATTGTGGAGTCGACCTGGAGTGTTGTGCATTACCATATAAGAGTCGAAGACTAATGGTGAAATACGGGTAACGTCGCTAAGAATACAACTCGCGCGCGCGCTAGAAGATTCAATGAAAAATAATTAGATTGAGAGTAGTTTTGTGTCGGAGTGTAGCAACTTTAGCGTATTCGCTATATGCATGACGGTACGTAGAATGATGGGGAATGAAGAAACGTCCGAGTGTTGGTAAGCCTCCAAGAGTGCTCGTCGTTCTCTCGCTTACGTCTGCACAAGTAGACCACTTTGTACATATGATACGATGTAGTCTGCATACGTGACATCCGAGCGTTAGTCTCGTTTAGTCACGAACCTCCGCGGAGGCAAACCAAATTTACGATTGTGTTAGTATACGCGCTTTTTTCAGCTCTAGAGGCAGTTCAACCAAGGTTGAAGTGCTCGAAGTGTTAAGTGCTACACAGTTACTCAAAAGAGCTAGATGTAGTTTTCAACGTGCAGGGAGTATCGTCCATTTATGTTGAGATCTCATTGTAGTTAAGACTGGAATGTCGCAGAAGAAACTATCGCATAAAATGGTGTCTCACGTAGTTTTTTTATATCGAACGCAAAGTGTGTCAAGAGGTCATAGAAATATATATTTCAGGTATTGGTGTAACTAATACTGTGATGTATGTAATGTCAATAAAACAATGAAAGACTCTGGGCTCATCACTGTACTCGCCAATTGATTAGAATAATGAGAATCAAACGTATCAGATGCTTGGGGAGAGATAGGAACGTCAAAATTGCCAAAGATACGCATATCGATATTTGCTCTCTGGATGTGGGGAAGAAATGGTAAGGATACACGGAAAGAGTCATCTATTCGCTTGAGTTTTCGAATACCATGTATATTGTCTGAGAACGCGACTGCTCCAAACAGATAAATCAGAATGTTTGGAAGTGATATATGATGGCTTGTCTTGCGCTACTCTCGTGCCTACACTTAATCAACATAACTGCTGCACCCACACAGCCAGCATTTAGAAATTACGACCGAAAACAGAAATTTATCCCTTACATACAAAATCGCAGAATTCGTTCATTAAAATAAAAATAGTGTTCTCGGCAACTCGAAATTAATGCGTTAAACTGTTGCCCACATTTTGAATGTCAGTTAAATGTTTTCACACCAATAAATTTATAAAAAGCCATTCCTCATATCAATTTGAGAAACAGACTGGTGGAACACTATCGCATTAGAGGCGCGTTTGCCGCCGTCTCCGGTCGGAATGCATGCTCAATGTATGCCTGGTACTGGGTTATCTGCGGGGTAATGCCTGATTGTGACTCGAAGATATGAAAGTTGCTAGGAAGCTGTTTCATCGATGGTGCTTTACAGTCGCGCAAGAGGCAGCTGCTTGTGACCGTGTCGTTGGGAAGGTGTAGGCACGCTGGCCCTGATTGGTTGCTTAGGGTATTTACACCAGATCCCTCATTTTCCTTCATATTATTCCTACCTGATACAGCCAAAATGGTTGTATGTCAGCGAAGTATCAGTACAAGGTACTGGTGTACTGCTACCGAGGAGGATGGTGATGAGTTCAAGGACGCAATCCAATCAGCAACTATTTCTGGGGTTGAGCATACAAACGAGTACTGGATGAACCCTTGGCGATTCGGACAAAAGCTTCATGTTATAATGTGACGAGAGACTGCACGTGTTGAAGTTCAGGATGAAAAAAGTGACAAACTTGTTAATCAAAGTAAAGAAGATTCTGGTATAAACACATCAACGAACCAAAGTGCGCTGAATGGAATAAGCACACTAAGTATCAATTTTCCCCACTGACGCTAATTCGGATGCAAATCAAGGGCAACACTTCGCTACAATTCACCTGAGTTGCCCATAGCGCAACGAAAAAGTAAAACTACTAATCAAGTGGAATACAAAACCGAAAGAAATAACAGAATCTATTTACAAAGAAGGTAAGTCAGTGGCCGAACTGATTTTACAGTGGCATGAAAATCACACGATCTCATGTCAACAGCAGGAAGTGAACAGCTCACACAGGAGAGTGGACACTGCTGAACGAAACCAGCAAGAAGCTATAAACCCAGTGACAGCAATTTCACCCACAAGAAACGTCCAAAAGTTCACTAGGAGTAGCCTTCGACTCCAAGTAGTGAGCTGTTCTAATGGTAATGGTTGCACGCGAAACACCCGCTCGATGTTTTACATGGGATGCGTATGTGCATTCAAAAAAACAGAAAAGAAGTCCATGTCCGTTCCGAGATGCACACACAACTTGTGACATTAACAGGCTGTTATCGTTAGGCAGATATGCTTCATACAAACACATGAAAAGCTGAAATATGAATTCCAATGGGGCTGAAGACACTCCGAACGTCAACATGGTGAAAGGAAACCCCACAAATGACAGTTTATCTCTACTGACGCACGGAGCAGAGACAATGTTGAGCGTTATATAAATGGTCAATGGTTTCCAAAAGAGAGAGATCGTAGCGAAAAGACATCTCGTCGAAAAACCAAGCTGGAAAGATCGGGCTCGGTGAACGACAAGTGAGGATTGCACAGATATGAGAGGGAGTGATACACGATGGGAATTGAATTGGCATAGAGATGGAAAGTGTCCGGGAGGAAGTAAGAATTGCTTTGGAAATCCACTATTTTAGCGATTAATCGATTATTAACGATTATCGCATCGATTTCGAACGTTCCGGAATGTTCTACTTCTGCACGTGATTAAAAACCACCTGACACCTCGGCAAAAGATATGGGGAACCATTAACCTTGGTAGTTGACCTTCCAGTTCTAGAAGTCGAAGGTCAGTAGAGGCCTATAAATACAGCCAAGGTCCGCAGTAGTTGTACAGTGTTCGTTGGCGGCGACTAATACGTTATTTTGTCAAGGTCATTGGCGTTTTGCTTTTTCCTTCGGTTGGGCTCGAAGTTATGTGGAGCAGTGAATGTTATTTTTGGGATTGCGTCTAGTGAGAAGATTATAACAGGAAGAAAGGAAGACGAGAACTCGGATAATTCACAAACCTGCATACGGCGCGCTTGTTGTGTGAACAATGGGCGCTGAGATTCCACAGGGCGCTTAGAGTGGTACGCAATGTGCTGTCTCTGCGTGCAGTCATGGCAGCAATGGTGAGTCGCCGTGGAGCGTCGACTCGTCGTAGCGACGCTTTGCTGCGAGAGTCGGTACGCCAACAAAGATTTCGCAACACGCTCGCAGAAACCTGACACACAAATCAGAAGGGAAAAAGGAAGAAGGATGATAGCAAGCAGTATCTAGAGGATAATGATGTAATGCACAAAAGACAGAAAGACATCGAGAAACCGGTTTTGGAGGAACACAAACTAAGATGAGGAGAGGCAAGAAGAGATGAAAAAATGGCAGTTGATAGTATGAGTACGAAGAAAAGGTGAATAGTACGGGTAGCGAAACAGTACGTGCAGCAGCACGGGAATACCGAACGCATGCATCAACAAGCCAGATCTATCAATCGGTCTTAATTGGAAGTAGAAGAAATTGCAGCCAAAAATGGGTGACGGTTCATAAAGAAAGTAATATCTGGTAACACACGAACGATTCGTATGCAGTGGCTAGATATCGACGCTGATCTCTGATATTGATTTACATTAATGAAATGGGAATATTTGCTTTGCTGAAGACCAGCATTGCCTGTGATTCATTTAAGCGAACAGTGTCTATCCGAGGCAACTACTTGCCATAGGATGAGATGACGCAAGGATAGATCACGAATAAAGGCATTTCCAATCATGTGATCATGACAATATTCGGCCTTCACGAAGAGCAAGTCACAATGGAAGATGCAGCCGGCAGACAACCCTGTTCCGCAAACAAAGAGTAGGTATACGCAGCGTGCCCCTGAGTCATCAACTACGACTCACTTAATTAATGTGCGCACCAGACGAGCAACTCTGATCTTCGTGTTCGTCAGTTTGCAGGAAAGTTAGTAAGCACGATTCAATGACCTAAGGAGTTTTCACTGTTGTTCGCCCTCAGAGGAGCGAGAAAACAGCAACGCAAAGAATTCCTCACTTCGAGTTCAGTTCGTAATGATCAGAGGCACGAAGTTTGCCTCAAACGGAGTGGCAATACAAACGCACGGTGAGTACATTAAAACGCAAACAATGGATTGCTAAATATTGATGCTAGTGGAGCCCAATGGCCTAGTTGGCGTGGCGTCAGCTGTCACCGTGTTCCAGTCCCAATCTTAACTGTCATTATCTGACAAGTTCATTTAAGAACGAGTCTAGTTTTGGGGTTGGGGCGCAGTTTCGGAAGCGAGCAACACAAGTCAATCTGAATACACCGACAGGGCTCAAAGGTCCATTAACAAATTTACTGACCTGTTTCAATTCCTCATTGCCAGAGCGCAGTTGGGCCAACAGCGCCTCTAGATTGGCAATTCGCCGGCACAGCAGTGCCTTGTTAGCAGCCACACCGAAGGTCAGATTGGTCAAGGCCATGCAAATGTATCGCCGTAAAGAGATGCTTGTTTCCAACAAGTGTTCGGCTGACTGATCCACACTTTTGGGACAATCGAATGTAGAGTCGGATTTATCGGGGCAGTTCATGGCTGCTGGGAAGAGACCAGCATCAGTGCACACAGCCTGTTCCACACGGAGCAGAGCGATAAGCACGTGTACACCGCCTGACAAGACAGAGGACATGATATGTGAATAAAAGGTCCCACGAATCAAACGCAAAGCAGAAATGTGCCGGTTAGGGGGAGTGAAAAATGATGGAGGCAGTAATCAGGTTCTCCCGGAACATGTGGTAAAAAGAATTCCGAGTGAGAAAAACACCTGCATAGGAGTGTAAAACAGCGAAATAAAAATGGGAACAGCAGCAGGGTGAAGTGGGATACGCGCGATCGATAAATATTGCCTTAAACCGTCTTGATAATGATATGCAAGTGGCGAAACGGTGGTAACCAGGAGAGCAGTAACAGTGAACAAATCTGTCAGGTGCACTACGGTATCCCTGATCAGGTTGTGTAGCCGAACCGCGGTATCCTTTGGGACCATAGCGAACAGACGGTGCGCTGCAACGAGTTAGCGTAACCTCAACGGGATAAGAATCAAACGGAGATGAATCAGGTGTCCCCGAAATTTCAGACAAGCAGCCAAGAGGAAAATGCGGGACGAATGCCTCATATGAGTATCTGGTAGTGTTCGAATACAATGCAAATTACTGCCAGATTATTGAACAATTGAGTATTCCTCTTAGTTCAGACAGCGAACAAGTCTATGTGTATCGATCGTGTCTTTTGCAGCTTTCACAGACATCCGTTTATACTTCAGCCTGTGGGAGCACAGGAAGTAGTTAGGTCAATTCTGCATTATATAAACCGATGAACATTATCAGCATAGCAAAATTTCCATTCTCATGAATTCGTCAGTAATCAGTTTAGAAATTGCAGAGATCCACTGTGACCGTTGAATGCGTGGTAGCAAACACAACGCTGCCCGCCTACTAGTGCTGGGACTGATTTCGTACAGGTCGTACCGCTTGAATGCAGTTGGCCAAAAATTTGGATGAATGCCGTACTCCAGAGCGTGCTTTATGTGCATCTTCGAGGAACATGTTCGGTATAGCTGTACCCAACGCGAATGCTGACAAGGTGCCCACCGGTCGGGTGTCGATTACTGTCTCCAACTGACTGTTACGCGTCATTGGAGTAGAATGAGTGACGATGATAAGATCAAAAAGTGGTTCTATCCTGGGATGGGCTGAGCCAGTAACCGCTTTGTGTGCTGAAAGTTTTTTCAATTTTACTACAGCAATGTGTATAGGCTCCGAATCCATCGCGGTATCCATCTTAATGTTCCCCCTCACATTTTCATCCGCGTTCGCACAGGACGCAGGGTGTATGCGGATAGAGCAGAAAACCACCCACAGGTCCTAGATACGCACAGGCGTATAATCGGCGTTCGCAGTCCCCGTGACAGGTGAATCAGAGTAGTCAGCTACCAAAAGTGTATGAATAACCAACCACATAGGCCTGTGAGTGCATTGAGATTCAGAAACCTAAACGGAATGCAACTGGAATCGTACGCTCTAATGCGTAGCATTCAGATCCAGTGCCCTATCGACCAAGCGAAATAGAATGGGGATTGCAAAAGTGTAGCAGCAAGAACAACCAGTACCGCGAAAAGTTTTGCGTCAAAAACGGCAAACAGCAATAAGGTTGATCACGTAAATGAATGTGTGCAGTCGGTAAGCCGCAACGCTTGCTAACCAAGCTGGTCTAGGAGGTACAGAGAGAATGCCAATCAAGTAAACGGAAACTGGAAGTGAAAAAGCCAGCCCAATGTAGAAAATGTATCTGAAATCAATAAAAAACCTAGATGGTTGATGTATGTGCGCGCGTATTTTCAGCATCCGTCTGGATGAGGATTTTTATACAACGATTTCTTAAAGATTAGCTCCGAGCCAAACTGCCACAGTAACACGACAGAGATAAAAGAAGCAGAAAACGTGTGTAGGGAAATGAGGAAATCTGTGACATTTCGGTAGAGCCGATATGAGTGGATCGAAGTATCACGGCTGGGCTCTCTTTGACATTTACTGTGTGGAACGAATGGGAGACAAAAAAGGAACATAATCACGCTGGAAAATCGAATAAGGGGAAGTGTTGCACCAGTCTGGTGAGACGTGTAGTAGTCAAAGCAGAATTGCCCTCGGCAGACAAAGAATAGGTTGAGAAACAGAAGAATTTCGTTGTGTGAAGCAGGTGGTTTGAATGGAGGTTCTGTGTAGGGATAAGTGATGGGACCGCCGGCTTGTTGGGTAACGCGAAGTAACAAAGACGTCAATGTGTAATGGAAAGGGAAGACACGTGATCTGAGAAACGAGGATAAGAGAAAAAATAATTTAACCTTTGGTTGTCGTGGTGAGAGTTAAATACCACCGGGTACATGACTCAGGGGAAATCGCTGGTCGGCCTGCTAATGTAGCCAGTCTGTTGAACTTAGTTACTTGGTCTTGACACTCACGGAAATGAAGAGACAGTGCGCTGAAGAGTAGCAAAAGACATAGTTCATTCATGGGCAATTTAATTCATCTTTGATTTGAACGCTTGTACGCTGTGGGAAAAAAAGTAGCTCCCCAAAACGGTGAAAATACGGAGATCGTTGAAGAAGACAATGGGGGGAAAACGGAGGAAACAAGGAACAGCAAACGAAAGTATACAAGGAGCATAGTCGCTGAATGGGAGGCTCGATCAAGTCAAAACGGGGCACTGGTCACGGATGAAAGTAAGCTTGCGCATAGGTACTCGAACACATGTGTCTTATGAAACTAGTGCGATATCGTCTGACAGCGTTGGGAAGCAACCCAGATAAGTGAATTCGGATCAGCCGAGATACGATAGATTAATTGATTGGTTAGTATGTGGAAAAAAGCAGCCTCAGCTAAAAAATGGTGTGAAATACTTGGGGTTTTGTAGGCAATTCAGAAAAATCCTTCGTACAAGGTTAGAAAATCTAAGCATTAATAGAGCAGAAAGCCTAATAGATAAAACCAAGGCACTGCATACAACATGGACTGATAAGGAGCCAGATTCAGACTGAAGAGGTTGACAGGTGAGCAATGTAGGGCTGCTAACTAATCCACTGATATACCGAACCGGCGAAATCGACATTGAGCACAGGTGAGAAATGTGATGTACATATTTATGCCTGATGCAAGGGTCCAACCAATTGGCATACTTTAAAGACTGCCGGTCGTAGCTGATCAATACGCCGGATGAAACCCGGGCAAACTAGAGTAGAGCATAAACTCCGTGGCTTAAGCTGTGAGGTTTGGGCACAATAATATTAACCAGTTAGCTTCAGGGCAGAAAGATGGATTGCTGGCAGCGTGGTAACCAGGAATCAGACAATCTGCGGAGTACATTGAATGTTAGTTGAAGCACTGGCGTCTCGCCCTGAAAAGAAATAACGCAGTAGAGCGTTTAAAATTAAGCTCGGAGTCTTCACGATCAAAAACCGGTCACAATTTCAATCAGACAGGGAATTTATTTGGAAGTGATCAGGACCAGGTTTATTATAATTTACGCCGGTTGAATGGCGAAAACTGTCGAACAAAGAGTGTGAATAAACTGAAAGATATTTTCGGAATGCCGAACAATTTGCGGGAGAAAACTAATGGATACAAAGCTGCTACAGGAAACATTCCTGATAAAGGTCAAAAACAACATAACTACGATGCTTCACAACCTTCGCGCAGAGGGAATAGGAATACGAAAAAACCGTTAGGAGTCTGGTCCCACACAAAGACGGAAATAAACACCTGATAATGAAGGGTCACTTTAGAGGGCTGACGAACGTGGCTTAGGATGGAATGCTGGAGAATCAATTACCCATTATTCTCCAATGAACCCTAGCGAAATGATCACTACAGTATCACCTTGAGTATGGATGGGTTAGCAGACAACTGCAAACCCAATCGGTCAAGAAGGACAGGAGCCATCCAGTGAACGGAGGTAAAAGCGACATCATCCAAGCATGGAATGCGGTTTCGACTGATTATAACCCAAAGAGTGTGAAGAATTGTCAAGAATATCTAAGGTAACTCTAATCGCATCAGTGCAGTTGCCCACAAATGAAGCGCGTACAAACAATCCAATAATCCGAAACAAATACGTGGAAAGCTGTGGGGAAAGGTGTTGGAACAAACCGCACACCTATGGACTAAAGCAGAGAATGCATCTTAAGGCCGAGAGGATGACATGTTAATGGCACGGGTACATTCGAGTTGTGGGTGCGAAGTGCTCATTCATTTTGATCGCCTTCCACCCCCCACGATTGCAACAACCCATAATGATTTCGGAATCATCAGAGCCATGTGGATGTGAAAACAAACGCAACAGTTGAATGCTGTAGAAAGAAGCGAACGCCGAAAAAGAACCGGGGACCCTGTAGAACCCACCTAGTGCACATATGGCCGTACGATGTTCCGGATAAAAAGACAGGCGAACCAGAGCAGCAACTTCAGCGACCGGGCACGCCGGAATTGGTAGTCGATCTGGCGGATGAATGAAGAGAGAGCCACGGCAGGAGGAACTACATGCAACATTTGATCGTTCGAGTCGATTTTGTTGGGTGATGGTGTACGTGTGAATGATAGCCAAAAGACGGACGATACCAAGATCACGTTCGCGTAGATTAGCATCGGCCTGACATACAGGTACCAAACGGTGGATCGCCTAGAAGAAGGAAACGTGAGACAACACATAACAGTATTTGCGCATCAGACCATACTCTTCGAACCAAGCACAGTAAAAATGCAAACAAAAAGAAAAGGCAAATATAAAGTGAAATTTGGGATTGTTATCCCTGTTGGCATCGTGGCGGAATACTATCCCAACGTTTCGCCACCACACAACTATGATAAACTAAACCAAGATGGCAGTAGTGGAAGAGACAGGAATGAGTTGGCTCATAATAAGTGGGCTCGTTCGGGAAACAATAATCAGAGATCCAACAACAGGTGTATGATAGATAGCCTCCTTTGATGCCCAATGATACACTCATTAGCATAGTACACCTTACGATCACTCAGTCAGTGTCTGATGGCACCAGCGTGTACACAACGGCGGTTGTGGGTAAGTGAGTGCTTAATAGAGACAATCCTGATAGTTCATTGGAATAACAGACACAACTGGATAACTTGCGTTAGCTTGGATACGTACTACGTATACCCGGTCACAGGTTACCTAGGACAGCTGTGTTCTGTTTGTCAGACGTAAGGTGGAGTTAGGTTCGAGGTGGGCAGAAGTTAACTTGGCAGCGGGAAATGAAGTCACTGACGACCAAACTAGGTAATGTTGTTCCGTATGAACCTCCAGGCTACAGGACATATGAGCCACCTTGTGCTTGACACGAGACGTTACAGAACATGGCTCGCAGTCAGCACCAGTGGTGCGTCTGCTGCAGTCTCCTAATCGGATTGCCTGTTTAAAGTGTGTTTGGTGTTGAGTTATCTGCGGGGTAATGGCTGATTATGACGCAGTGCAGTGAAGGCCGCAAAGAAGCTGTTTCACTGATGCCGCCTTATCTTTGCACGACAGCCAACTGTTTGTGAAGGTATGTTGTCTACACAAGGTGTAGGCGCCTTGATCCTGAATGTGTGCTTAGGGTGTTGGGGTTTTCCGGGAGGTCTCCCTTTTCTCCCCCTCATTATTATTCATTCCGTAGGTCTTTGTAGTTGTTCAAATCACTGTGCTGTTTCTGATGACGTGGTCGGAGTTAGCGCTTTCTTGCTTTAACAACGCACAGATTGGTCTCAACCGCCAAGCATTGGTTTCAGCTAGTGGCGTATAAATCGAGTAATCGGTCGCCGGCTCTCAGTGAGCGCGATTCCCTGAATTCGTCCCCCTGCCTTGCCAGTAGGCTTTTTATCCAAAGGCAACTACGAACTTTGGCTTGGGCAACCGGGTAGTATTACACCCACTGCCAAAACCATGGACCGTTCTTCTGATATACCGTGCTTAACTACCTATGATTTCGCTGCTCACACACCTTCACATACCACCAGTCCATTCGTTCCCAATCATTTTTATCCGTTGCCAGCTGATCCCTGTTTCCACTCCCGATGGTTTCGTCGACGACAACAGAGCACGCCCAATGGCCAATTCTTCGACCTCGGTCTTCGTTCCGTCTGGCATATTGTAGTGTACGTATACTTACGCAGATCGGGCAACAGACTGGTCTTGCGCTCACTTTGGAACCCCGCAACATCGATGTTTACTGTATTTCCGAAACCCGAATGCAGGACCCCAGCACCGTGATTGAGTTGAGATCTCCCATCGAGCACGGAGCCATATTTCACCTACGTCTGGTGACACAGAAGCAGCCGCGACAGACTTGGTTGGCATTCGTGTAGCACTAAGTGGCAAAGCCGAGGTCACACTGCTGAATGGTTCCCGATTAACAACCGGCTATGTGCAGTTCGGCTTCGGGGATCGTGCAGGATCAAAGGATATCGTGAGTGGAGACGCGACTGGTTGGTGATCTCAGCTTACGCTCCAACTGATTGCAATTGTGACTCGACGAAAGACGATTTCTACCGTGAACTTCACTAGCTCTTGGGCAGTTTATAAATCCGATATTGTTGTCCTTGATCGGGATTTGAACGCACGGGTTGGCCAAACATCATCATATGAAAGTCCCCTCGGTGGTCACCATGAGTTCGATCAGAGCCGCTCAGATAATAGCGAAAGACTTTCCACACTTTGCGAAGATAATGGTTTGTTTCTCTAGAGCATCAGGCGTTGTGGAAAGATTCAGCTACTTGGCGCCCACCATCTCCGACTCAGCCATGGTCTCAGATTGACCACATCGCAATTAGTTACAGATGGCGGAGTATTGGAAAGGATTACAGATTCATCTGGCGCGTATTTCTCGATTCATCATGCTCTTGTTAAGCGAACAACTGGTTGAGTTTCGTAGGGTCCGTGAAAACGATGCAGTATAAGGTAGACACAAATAAAGTATCTACCCTTTCGGTTCAACAGAGCTAGCAAGATTCCTTGACCGATGTACTCAGTCGTAACCCACCATAAAACAATGATGAGCACTTGGCGTTCATGCAGGGGACGATGATTGCTTCAGGACAGTTAGTCTGTGCTCTTACCCAGCACCCTATGAAGACTCAGAACTCCACTCGCTCCCTGGATCTATTTGACCGTCACAGAAGTATTCCAGCGGAGTTTAATCATAACGAAGTGCGGCGTTCTGTCAGTCGGCAGTTAAACAAAGCCTACGCAGTGACCGCGAAGCCTAGTGGGCTCAGCATGCTTCGGAAATGGAGGTCTCTGCACTGTCAGACAATAGTCGCAAGTTCTTCCAGCTCATTTGTTCCACTGGACACATGAAGCCCGATGGCAGTGAGACTATTTGCGAAGCTGACGGTTCGTCGATTGCCAACCTACACAGACACTTGGATCGATGGGTCGAACATTTTCACTCGCAGTTCAGTTGGCCATCACCGCCCACTTGTATACCCTGCGAACTCAGCTGCTCGCCCTGGGTCGTCACACTTGACCCACCTAGTGAAGCAGAAGTTTGTCTTGCGATTCGTCATTTGAAGTGATTCAAAGCTGCTGCCTCAGATAGGCTTCCTCCGTAGCTGTTCAAATATGTTGGCGCAGTTAATACCAGTCAGCGAACCTCATTATTTTCCAAAATCTGGCATGAAAGAAAGGTCCCTTCTTCCTAGAGTGAGTCAGTTATTGTCCCAATTTTTAAGAAGGGTGCCCGAACTTTATGCGCTAATCACTAGGATATCAGTCTCATTTCAGTTATCTAAAAGCTACTGGCATCCATTCTACTTCGTAGACTATCCCCGATTCCTGAATCACAGTATTGGGTAGGACAAGCTGGTTTCCGTCTTGTTCGTGGGTGTGTGGATCGAATATTCACGCTCCGTCAAATCCTCGAACACTGCCACCTCTACCAGAGGCCTACTATCGCTGCATTCGATTCGGTTGATCGACCTGCGCTGTGGCGTATTTTTGCTAAGGAACAGGGTCTCAGAAAGGTACATAGCCATGCTACGCGCACTTCAGGTCTCCGACAGAGTGAGGGTATATGGTAAGCTTTCTTCGTCCTTCGCTGTCAGTAGCGGTATACAACGAGGTTGCCCTATGTCCCCGTTCCTCTCCAATTTTGCGATTAAGGACGTCCTGCCGAGAGCTCTGGATGGTTAGCAGCATTATGGTCTGCAATTACTACCGCGTAAACGAGCAACCGACTTCGAGTATGCCCATGACATCGCACTAATTGGTGACGACTCGCGGAGTATGCAAACCACTCGCAATCGTTTGGCGATTGAGGCATTTAAGTGCCTCGCCCCATCGAAGTGTAAGGTGCTGCTCTAGGATTGGCAAGCTCGCGTTCCCGTGCCTACTCTTGAAGACACAGGCTTGAACATGTTGACAGCTTTGTATACCAGGGCAGCTTTGCGTCTGCTGGTGGCGATATCAGCAAAGAGATTTCTCTCCGTATCGCCAAAGTTCGGTCTGAGTTTGTCAAACTGCAACACTTGTGGCGTCGACGGGATGTCTCCTTCTTGGTTAAGGGCCATGTTTACAATACCACAGTTCGGGCGGTGTTGCTATATGGTAGCGAGTCATGGCCAGTTCGTTTAGATGACTTGCACCGGCACTCGGCCTTTGATAATGGATGCTTGAGGAGAATTGTTCGTGTGACGTTAACAGCGTATCTGCAACGGTGAAGTCAGATGTCGTATCTTAGGAAATGCGAGTATTCACCTTAACAAGCTGGTTTTACTGCGCCGGTTAAGAGGGCTCGGCCACGTCTTCCTTATGTCAGATGAACATTTGCTCTATCGTGCTGTTTGCTCATGCACGACTCGACTAGAAGAAAACGCGTGGCGATCAACCATCCACTTGGCGACAGCATACGAAATCATTGACTCCACGTCTTGCTGCCGTTGGATCTACAGGCCTGCCTGATTAGGGACCCAAGGACGAACAGTGCTGATGACTCATAAGAATTCAGGATTTGGCTGGCAACCGAAACCAGTGGAAGATCTGTGTACACAATAGTTTGGTTAGATGCTTAACGCTTAACAATTGAAAAAAGACAGCCTCATCTAGTTTCAAATGTTATGGACTTAGCGTCTAGTGAGAGGAAGTCATAACCTTCGGAGACTAGCCGCTGTCATCTGCTAAGGTAGTAACCTGCGTGGCAGTGGAAGATAGGTCGTGCTATATCCCAGTTGGCTTGCAAATTGTGTAGCCCAGCCTACGTCCCCCATGGTTCAGGGGCTTAAGTTGCTGGCTAGTTTGCATCTGTCTCTAGAGGTCATGGGTTCGATCCCCAACAGGGGAATGAGGGGATGTGCACAACTGACGAGCCCCAGTAGGGCGAAACGCGTCTGGTACTTTTCCGGATTAGGCTGTGCTATGTAGTCTGAGTCTGTGATTATAAACATGAAAAATGCCGTGTGCAAAATAACAAAATAGGCTGTTTTTGTATTGAGGCACAATAGTTGAAGTGTGTCGCTCACCTTCAATTAAAGTGCTAAAATGATGATGCTGCGGCGACTCCATCTGTCCGCTCAATCTCATGGTCTTGTCTGGCCCTATGACTATCTATTAGACCGTTGATATTATTACTATTAAGCGAATGAACAACAACGATGCCGTAAAGTAGGGCAGCCAAGGTAGTGCGCTAGTGG